GTTGTCTAAAGGTTTGCAACCTTCGCAGGCTATTTCCTTTTCTCTACAACCCTTTCACTGTCGATAAGAAGGGCTCCTTAGTGCAGTGGTAGCGATGCCGCACATGGGACGGTGCACCAAAGGTTCAAACCCATGTGTGACGCAAGCTTTGCAGCAAAGTGGTGGATGCTTTCCACCATGGCAAAGGTCCAGTGGCTCAATGGGAACGTTCCACGCTGCCGCTGGCAAGGTTGCTGGATCAACACCGCTTGCAGTCTAAGATTTGCAAGCATCCGTTGCTTACCTGTCATCCACATCTCTTCCAAGGGTGATCCCTGGTGCAGCAGCAAAAACTCGGCTGCGAGTCCTATCATCCAGGGTTCAAGTCCGAGAGTGGCGCAAGTTTTGCAGGTAGTGTGGCGAGGCTGGTGGTTTCAAGGAAGGGTCCGTGTTTCCACGCTGCTTGTTCCTCGTCAATGGAGAAAAATCACCACATTTGATTGCTAGTTTAGGGTACTTTACTACCGTCCCTGGTTACGCGCAGTGTTTGAAGCAAAAATCACAATAAAACTGATGCTCATGAACGAAAAAGATAGGTAGTGCATAGCGAAGATCATGGTGCAGTCAAAAAATGCTTACGCTTCGCTAGCTGAAAGAGCACATTTGATGGCGCGATGATAGGATTACCCTTTCATATCAGCTGCTAAAGGATATTGAGCCAACAATAACAACGTCTCTAGCCGCTCCTGTCAAAAGTTGTTGTACCGGACTGTTTCCTGCCCGAATAATGAGCCGCTTCGTACGTCTAGCGTAGAGCATTCGCAAAACTAGCCCGTTTTGAAATCTTCGACAGAAAGGCATGTTGAGAAGTTCCCCTTATTTCCTCGCTTTTTTCTTGAATTGAGAATAAAGGATGGGCTATTAGTCGAGAATTTGATCAATATGACCATCCCCACATGTATACGACTCCTCCATATCCTCATGTTCTCATAGCCCTTGACTTACGTGGCTGGGGTTGATGGTCGATGGTGGATGTCAACAGCAGCTTGTGCGTTGTTGTAGCTGGCTATGCTATCGATTGTATTATACATACAAGGTACGAGGGTGGGAAACAAGATTTGCAGGCATCAACCGCCCGGTTGTTGTTTAGAAAGGGGATATCTTTTTTGCCAATTCTGGAAGGGCAGCGATCACAGTAAATAGCTTTGATTTTTACCAGTTTAGCTCCGCACGCAACCGCGCGCATCACATGGTAGGCTTTAGTGAAACTGGACAACTTGCTGAATATTAGGTCACGTGGCTGAGAAACTAACAGTAAGATGTTTGGAAGATGTGTCACATGAATTTCAAAGGCCGTCCAACTGAAGATTGTAGCGTAATGCGCGCAGTAGCATGCGGAATGAAAATGTTACTTATCATGACTTCGTAAACATTTAGCATTGATATCGAGCTCGGGCGATTTAGCGGTTTATAGAACTTCCACAATTGAATAATGATGGAAATTGGAAATAATGATTTTATTCGCTATTAGTCCAGGTCCAGATAGTTGAGCAGCTCAACTTTCTTTGCTTCTTTGGATGAAAGGATAGGAATGGAACATATTCACTTGCTAGGGGCCTGGTTTAGTTTAACTGAGTGCACGCTCAATTTCGCTACTTTTATCAGTACAGTTGCCGCTCATACCACTTTCTGTCACCCACATTCAATCCTCGCCACCTTGTTCCCGTCCCATTCCTTATACCACATGTGAAAGCCAAGGTTTCAATGTCACCGCGAGGGCCGCAACGAAACTGGTGGTATCCACACTTTTACGCCCCTTATCAGTTCTTATCAGTTGCTACCACCATTCTTACAATCAACTTCTTGGTCCCCGCCTCACCCCACATATCATATATGAGTGCAAACTCTCCACCGTCAACGCGAGGCGTGTAACGAAAATTCGGAAATCGACCCCCCCCCTCCCTCTGCCGAAGGCCGAAGTCCATGAAACAACCCTCTTTAAA